TGCGGATGCCAACAAGAGATTCGAGCGCTGGGAGAAGGCCGTTCAGATGAGCAAGGGCTGGTCCACCACTTAGACTGCTTCCGCCCGGACAACGTATTTCATGATTTGATGTATATAGCACGTTCTTACTTTCACAGCGACAGCCACGATATCGTAGGTGTGGTCATAACAGCTGGCAGGATAGGCCAACCACCTACACCTGACACGGCCCTTGTATGATACAGAATATATGACGAGATGACGCAGTGTTTTTATCAAGTTTCGAAGTCCTTGATGCGGATAAGAATGTGTCTATGCTTGCGTAATGGGCTCGTCGATTTTTTTCCCAGTGTCGTGCTGTTTCACTTCCATTGATGGAGCTTTGCAGTCGCAGGCAGTGCCCTCTATGCCCTGGCGGTACCTTGGTATATAAGTTTGCGAATTGTTGACATACCCTGCCGGGTTTGCTTGTACCTAGTTGCACTTTCAAAAGTTGCCCGTCACCTCTATTTTCCTTCTCAAAATCGGGCTCCGGTGCTGTGTGTGTCTTTCGGACTCGGTCGCGCAAGGATCGTCTCCACCACCAGAAGGAGGACCCTAGAGCTAATTCATGCCGGTTTGTCAAGTACCAACCACCTCAAATCGCCACGTAATGGTGCCGCAACCGACCACACTCGACCAAGACGAGTAAATACTAGTACCCGTGGGAAATTGACAGGACGAAGCAGGACCTGATACCCACACGAAGCTAATACCGGTGCGCAGCCAATGCGAAGCCCGTAAAACGTCTTGGAAGACGAGGCGCATTCGGATGGCTTCAACCATATGGCAACTCCGGGTGGGAACAAGGACCGTCATCTAGAGCTTCCGTGGAAACGTTCTAGCGGACTTCCCTGGCCAAGCCCTTCGAAACTAGCGTCCAACGAGTGGTTTTGCCTCTGCCAGAGGCTGCTTTGGTGTGACCGAGGCGAAGGGGGTTGATGTGGCTGTCCAAAGTGCAAAGCAAAGCAGGCCATCTTCACGGTGGAGTCGCCATGGCACCACCACCAACGTTCATGTCAAAACCCCAGCAGTCGACGCCACTTTTTGTCTGAGCAGAGCCCGTCCCTTGGGAAGCAAGTGCCTTTCCAGTTGCAAAAGGCCTCACCTTTGCCACCACGCCTTTGTGTCCTCTGCCGGTTGACGAATCCTGCTTCCCCGCACGCCGAACTGTCATCTGTCGTAGAACTGAATTGCTTCTTCGTTCACGTTGTGGCGGCCCCCCGAACGTTTTATCCTATTTGACTTCGCAAGGGACGCATCCAAAGTGGGACACTGGTTTCGACTTCTTGGTTGGCCTCGGCCGAGGACCCCGAGCAAAACTAGACGTCAGCGACACAAGGATCAGCCTTCCGTTAGCCTTCGTCCGCGGACCGGGTCGGGTCTCGCGATCAAGTGTTTTTGATAGCCCGTCAGCATTCGAGCTGAGGTTACAAAGTGCTAGTACAAGCGCAATACGGCCCGACAGCACCACCATACTCACCAGTCTGCCAGCATCGCTATTTGGTCCGCCTTTCGCTGAGGACCCTTATCTTACTTCCTGAGTCCCCATTCTTATTCTTGTCGCCCTCGGAGGGTTCAATACCAAGCGCTGCCCCATGAGAAGATAGGCTGCTCAGCGCTTCGCGGACAAGGGAAGGCCCGTATCTTTTGCTGTCCTTGTTCTCTCAACCCCGAATCAATTGTGGAGTGTTCTGGGTCATGGGTTGAAATGGCAGACACCAACGCAGCCCCGGTGTCTACGGCCGAGGATGAGTCCAACTCGGTCTTCAGTCACGAAGACGGCGGGTCAAGTGGTGAGGATACAAATCACCCAAACGGATCCGCCTCGTCTGGGAAGAAGAGGAAGAGAGAGAAGTATCAGAAGACTTCGTACGTAGTATATCGCCCTCAGCCCTCCTTTTCCCTTGTTTTTTTGTCTCCATCTTGTTTTCGGCTACAGGATTAACCATAGAGCGACATCAGGTGTGAGTTATGCAAGGCACGGAAAGTGAAATGCGACAGGGCAGAGCCTGCATGTTCCTGGTGTGCACGGCACAATCGGACATGTGTTTATCTGGAGAGACAGAAGCCGGGGAGCCGCATCGGCTTCACTCTTGAACTGGAGACCAAAGTGAACAGAGTGGACGCTCTTCTTCAGACTTTATGGCGACGAGTTGAAGACCACATCGCGAATGATCACGGAGGACAATCGCAAATCTTATCACCCACCGTCAGCAACCATGCTTCCGTTCAAATTGACGGGTTCGCGCAGGATGCCGCCGGCCCCAGGCCTCCTGGAATCTCCAGAGGGACACCAATCCAGCAACCCAGACCCCTCGCTTTTTCGAGCCCTTCGTGGCAAGGCGGCGACGGCTCAGAGAACGCCCAACAAGGTGCTCCGTCGGTAACGTCTGCTCCTGGCCAATCTCTGCTATCCGGAGGTGCCGAATCATTCACGCCTCCATCTCGACTGAACAGTGTACGCTCCGGATCAACATCACTCTCTGGAGGCACAGATTTTCCCCCTCAGGATATAATCTATACGCTCGTTGACCTCTACTTCAAAAATTGTAATACGTGGTGTCCAATTCTTGACCGCAAGACGACTTTTGGTACCTTTTTTGGGTCAACTTCTTTGAGCGAAGTCGACAGAATACTGCTTCATGCAATTGTGGCAACGACTCTGCGGTTTCTGAAGGATACCCGACTTTCCTCAGCAATGCGATCCCACTATCACGCCGTGTCAAAACATAAAGTGATGATATATGCTATGGAAAATGTCAGCATAGAAGCTCAGCGAGCTTTGGTCATCCTGGCTTTGGACGAGCTGGGAACATCAAACGGCCCACGGGGGTGGAATCTATTGTCTATTCTGGTGCAGAATGTCCGACAACTGGATCTCTGTGAAGAAAACAGCATTTACCTTTCTGTAGATGCAGGAGATATACCGAGTACCGGGTCAATCCGGAGGGTTGTCGTACCACAGCCAGACTCCTGGATAGAGGATGAAAGTCGCAGGCGACTCTGCTGGGTGGTATATCTGCTCGATCGATATGCGACGATTGCCACAACGACGTTTGATTTCATGCTAGAAGACTTCAAGATGAAACGTGTTCTTCCTTGCTCATATGACTTGTTTTCCAGAAATGTGCCTGTGGAGACAGGCTCGTTACGTACGAACACCGACCAACAGGGATGGACGGGATACATGGTCAATAAGCCAGAGAATCTGGGTAGTTTTTCTTATCACTGCGAGGTCATCAGGATTATTAGCAGGGTCCACGACTTCTTGAAAAAGCCAGTCGACGTTACCTCGTCAGCTGAAATGACCGCGTGGCGCAACGCTTATCGATCTCTGGATTCAGCCCTGGACAGCTGGCTCCAGAGTTTACCCAGCGAATATAGCAAAATCTCAGCTTTATGTCACTCGGATCCGGCCAGTCGGGTAGCCAATTGGTTTATGTTGCATAGTGCGTATGTCACCGCCGTGGTACGCCTGCACTCGTCTGCTGCGTATCCAACCGTTCGATCTCATATATTTGTGCCGTCGCATTATGCTATGCAGAGATGTCTATCAGCGGTTCAGAGCTTGAGGGATATCACACAAGACGTTTTCGAGGCCAACGGTCTGGATCTTGTTGGTCCCCCTTTTGCCTTTTCTCTCTGGATTGCGGCTCGGCTACTCATTGTTCATGCCGCCACGGTTGGTTGTCCCGTGGATCCCAAGATTGACTTCTTCATCGACATTCTCGCATATGTTGGCCAGTATTGGGAGGTTGCAAATAACTACGCCAGAATCCTCGCAAGGGTTGTGCAAAGAGAGCGACAAGGAGAGGCAAGCTTTAGCGCTATGAGAAAGTAAGTGTTTGTTCCGTGACCTTTCAGATGATCGCCGGTCTACTTACGTCCATTACTAATGTAAAATTGCACTAGGAGCGCCCATGACTTGGTAAACCTGACATCCAGCACACGCCGAACGGGGCTGGATAAGACATCATCCCATTCCGTTGCGCTGAGTGAGCTCGATAATATCGATGTCTTCGATTTCTTCAACTATCCGAAAATCCCTAGCCTGGACTTTACAAACCAGAACGGCCAGGCAGAAATCTATCATGTACATGGACTGGTGAAAGTGGGAAGCGATCAAACAAGAGATGGAGCGGCGCCCGATCCTGACTCAGACTGGTTGGGGTATTGAGTGCCGTGGAGTTAGCATTTGCCAGAGTTGATGAAGGATAAAATGCTGCCCATGGAATACGCACATACAGTAAAGTTTGGACAGATGTGCGAAGACCACTGTCCAATTTGATGATGCAGCTACAGCAACACTTTTTGTAATCTTATATCCCTTTGTTCAGGCTGAAGACGTCCGAAATGAAGCCGCATACCCTATATGCTAGCGCCGCCAACGCAGCAGCGTTGTTTTGATGTTATATCAAAATATATCAGCACCAATGATGCTTGAGTTTTTGTTGGAGGTTTTGGCATGCAGGTAACAAGATATTTTCGCGGCTTTTGCCCTTCAAAATGCGTACCGTGTTATCTGGTACGTATGTATAGGAAGGAGCCATCAGCGCATGAAATGGCACGGCCATTCATGTGGCCGCCCAACTAGTACTAGCACAAGCAAGTTGAGTGTTTGGTGCGCAAAAAGTGTTGCGCCGTCTTCCGCCTCCACAGATTTCCTTCTCTGGGGTGTCATTCTCATAGCCAATCAGTGTCGCTCTAATTCTCAGCAGTACGGACATCACGACCCCACCACAGACCGAGGTAACAGATAGCTGCCGGCTGAAGAGCTTAAGCGTGCCGCCTCGAGCACCGGACCCTTTCAATTCTCCTCCAACTTCGGATACTCCTCCTATTGTTAGCTGATCACTCATCAAAGTCGTACTATCTTGTGCCGAAGTGGAGAGTGCCTTAAAACCTCCAAAGACTGAGGCCACCCCTTCGTGACAACTGCAACAACACAAAACCAAAGGGATCAATTTCCAATATTCACTATGACGCCGCCGGCCAAGACATTCACCCGCGCTGAGGTGCGGGAGCACACTACGGAGGATTCACTTTGGTGTATCATCGATAGTATTGTTTATGATCTGTCCGAGTTCGTTATTGCCCACCCTGGAGGCGAGAGTGTCCTGCACCAGGTGGCTGGGCAAGATGCCACGACCGCCTTCTACAACCTGCACCGGCAAGAAGTCCTTACCAAGTACGCTGATCTTGCTATTGGAACGATCGAGGGTGAGAAGCCGCAGGTTATTGTTCCGAAACCCGGCGATCTCAGCCCGGTTCCCTACGCTGAACCCCTGTGGTTGGTCCAGCATTTCAAGAACCCATACTACAACGACTCTCACCGTCGTCTGCAGAAGGCTTTACGTGAATTCACAGACAAGTATCTGACCCCAGAGGCTCAGGAGTGTGAGACCACAGGACGAAGCATCAGCCAGGAGATGATTGACCTCATGAGCAAGAAGGGAATTCTTCACATGAGACTTGGCCCCGGAAAGCATCTCCATGGCGTCGAACTGATGGATGGCGCTGTTAAGGGAGAGGAATTTGATTACTTTCATGACCTGATTGTTGCCCAGGAGTTCGCCAGAACCATGACCCGTGGCTTTCAGGACGGCAACATGGCAGGCATGACCATTGGCCTGACTGCCGTGCTTAATTTCGGCAATAACGAGGCCTGGAAGAAGAATATTGCCGACCAAGTCTTTAGTGGCAAGAAAAAGCTCTGCCTGGCTATTACGGAAGCCTTTGCTGGTTCCGATGTGGCCAATATCAGAACAACTGCTCAGAAGACCCCTGATGGCAAGCACTACGTAAGTTCTATGCATTCTGTGTAGTAAAATATCGCATGTTCCGAGGCGCCTAACATAATATCCAGATTGTGAATGGTACCAAGAAATGGATCACCAACGGTACCTTCTGTGACTACTTCATCACCGGGGTTCGCACAGACAAAGGCCTCAGCGTTGTTCTAATTGAGAGAGGCGAAGGTGTCGAGACCAAGCCCATCAAGACATCGTACTCTCCCACCGCCGGGACTAGTTACGTAACCTTTGACAACGTCAAAGTCCCCGTCGAGAACCTCCTGGGCCAAGAGAACAAGGGTATCCATGTCATTCTCAGCAACTTCAACCACGAAAGGTGGACCATGGTTTGTAAGTCGAATTCCTTTATTTAATCTGCTGATAAAATCACTGATACTCACTGTTCCGCGAAGGCGGCTCCATCCGAAACTCCCGCATGATTGTCGAAGAATGCCTCAAGTGGGCTAACCAGCGTCTTGTCTTTGGCAAGCGTCTCATTGACCAACCCGTCATCCGTAATAAGTAAGACCCCGTCCCCAAGAGAAATCCCACCCATCCGTAACCTCCGCATCTAACCAACCTCAACCCCCACCAGGCTCGCCAAGATGATTGCTCTCGTCGAAGCCAACCAGTCATGGCTCGAGACAATCACATACCAAATGTGCCACATGCCTTACAAGCAGCAGGCCCAGCATCTTGCCGGACCAATCGGTCTCCTCAAAATGAGTACTACCCGCGCCGCACACGAAATCGCCGACGAAGCCGTCCAGATCTGGGGAGGCCGTGGACTGACACAGACTGGCATGGGTAAACATATCGAAATGTTCCATAGAACCTATAAATTCGACTCGATTCTCGGAGGAGCCGAAGAAATATTAGCGGATTTGGGTGTCAGACAGGCCATGAAGAACTTCCCCAAGGCTATGTTGTAAATTAAATGAGTTCTGGATAGTTTGGCGATGTTCCATTAGTTGTAGTATCAATACGTAAAATGTCTACTTACTCAAAGAGGAAATGGGTTTGGGGAAATCATGGCCCGTGCGTAAAGTTCTGCGATCGGCCCGCTAATTACCAAACTGCGGATAGCCTACTTGCCTTGCAGCCAAAGAAATGTCCTACTACTCGTGCCGCACCCCATTTTTGTGCCAGCTCAGGCTTTCAGCACCCAAAGGTGGGCCGCGGCACGAGTAGTGGACCTGCTGGAACCACGAATGCAAAGCCGCTTGTCCCTACTTCGTATTTCCTCAATTGCATGGTCCGAGAAGAAGTGATGCTTGTAGAATCCAGCTATTGTAAGTTGAGCTATGAGTGACCTAACAAGAAAGTTCACAGGGGTTATAGACTAGACCTTCTATACCAATAGCAATAATCTTTAATTTTGTTGAGCAATAATAACTCATCTTCCGAATAGGTTCTAAGATTATAGATACTCTCTACACCTTTCCCTTTAATAGTTTTCTTCTATTGGCTCTAACTTTCCCTGCTTTATCACACCCGGCAAAATATTTAAGGGTTATTTTTTATCTCGTCAAGTATAATTTTAGTCGCTATTTCAGTAGTACCAAATGATTGTGCTGTAAATATTTGTACTCGGCGGGTTAGCGGGGTCCGCGCAGATTATTTCGCGGCGCGCAAAGACACAACTTCACTTGCAGAGGTCTGGCTATGCTGCAATGTATGAAGCGCGTGAACTAGGTTTGTGATACATACCATGTAGGGCTCATTAGCATGGAGCATGCTATACATGTCACGCTTATGCGAGTGGCTTTTGTGTTGCTGCTTCGTGCACACATGCGGCCTCCGCCCAGCATATTAGGTTTGATCAACGCAGGCCATCTTATTCTCACTATCAACTCGTCAACCTTCCGATCTGTCTTCTCTCCCACTCTATCCTCTGTCAAAGAGATGAATATTAGCCCACTTCAAGACCACTCAAAGCTGAGCTACTTCACAAATCCTTCTCCGAGTCTGATGCTCATCGTTCCGTCAATAGCATAATCTGCCTGGGCATGTTGCGAGGTAAGACCAGCTCTTGCATGGCAGATAAGCTGGAAGAAGAGAGAAATTCCAACCTTCAGATCCCCACTGTCGATATTTCCCGTCAAGTCATCGTCCGAAATACCAAGTCCATCTTGCATGTATGGTCCGTTCTCATCTTTCCTCAAGGGCAACACTCAAGGTCGAACAAGACCCGGCCCGACTAGAATCGTCTCGTGGATATCATATGATGCGAGGAGGAAAACACTTTTCATGTTTGCCTGAATTGCCATATTTCCGTGATAAAAAAAAATGAAACCGAGAAGACAAAAGAAATAATTTTTTGGGCGGCCACAAAACCTTTGCAGAGTCAAATCAAAAACAGAGCACGAAATTCGTCGTGGGTATCATGGAGCTGCCACGCCAACTTCCTCTCTGATCCACAAAGAAATGAGAGGACCTCTGAGCCACGATATTTCGACGTTTCGATCATCTTAGTTGGGACAGGCAGACTGGACGTGTCCAGCCTGCTGGCACTTGTAGCAGATCTTCTCGCCGCCGGACGATTCCTTCGGGCAGTCACGAGAGTAGTGGCCAGACTCGCCGCAGTTGTAGCATTTCATGCCGTTGACACACTCTCCTACCAAGGGCATTAGTAGCCTGATTAAGGGATCCTTTTTGGAAAGATTTTGCTTACGGGACATGTGGCCATATCCACCGCAAGAGTAGCAGGTCTTTCCAGCACCACCGCCGCCATACCCGCCGCCGAAAGAACCACCATAAGAACCGCCAGCCTTGGAGCAATTGCGGGCAATGTGGCCGATCTCGCCGCACTGAGTTCATCAGTCAAAATTTATTCGCCATACGTACTTGTGGTAAGCGAAAAGTTTTGTCAGGCTTACCTTGTAGCACTCAGTGGACTGGGCACCGCCAGCACCGCCAGCACCGCCAAGAGGACATTCGCGAGAAATGTGACCAGGTTGGCCACACTTGTAGCAGGACTTGTTCTCCTTCATGGGCTCAGAGCAGTCTCGGCCTATCACAGTCAGTACTTGAGGGTGGTGGGAAGACGTGAAGCGGTTCATCACTTACTCATGTGACCCTCGCCTAAATTAAAGTTAGTACTATATCTCTCTCAGTCATAACATCATCATGGGACACATACCTCCGCAGTTGTAGCTATCATAAATATTAGCGAGCGCGTTTAACAAGATTTTCTCAAGCTTACTTACCACTTAGCAGGGCCTTTGGAAGGGCAGTCGCGGGCCTGATGATATCATGTCAATTCCCATCATCTAGCACGCCTGAGGTTGGTGAGAGATCATACCTGATGACCAGGGTTGCCACCTGTGTACCTCAAAGTGTTAGCCGCGTTCGCCTGAGAAAATTTTGCCGTCATTGCTGCGGCATCTCTTGAAGTGGCAGTAGGCACCATGGTATGGCGGTGTCGTCCACATCAGACAAAAATGAGCAGTCTGACGATGCTCAACAAGATTTGAGACTCACAAGAGTAGCAGGCTCCACGAGTAGCGCCGGTATTGGAAGAGTAATCCATCTTTTCTGGAGGGAGATGGACCTTTTGGGACTTTCTGATTTATCAACTGGCACTACAGCGTCAGCGATCGACATCTCGTGGGCGGATGCTGCAAAAAAGTCCAAATTCAAAATGACCAAACTGTGGTGCCGAGGCGGCATGGCAGAGATACTCTCGTGGCGAGACCGTTGCAACCTGCCACTAGTGACCTAACGACTGGCTCAACGGCGAAGGAAATTTACATGAACGCAGACGTACCGATTGGAAGGTAAAACGGTGTGCAATTGGCGAAGACTCGTCAATTGATCGGCGATATATCGATATGCAGAGTGCAATTCTGAAGTGGTAAGGACGAAAATAGGAAAAGTTTTTGGCGTTAACGGTGGTGGTTCAGCGGGGCTCGATTTTTTACCGTGCCAGAGAAAAGAGCAAACGGAGTACAGAAGTACTCTGGGCAGCTTGGAGCTGGGCGTTGGGGTGCAGGGAGTTGCTACAGCTGGCAACTGGAGGCGGAGGCGCCGAGAAGCGAGCTCAGAGTGGACTGAGACGCCGGTGCTGTGTGATGATTGAGTGGCGTCTCGAGCCAAAGCGGGGCGAAGCTTTGGTTTGGACTGTCGGCTTGGGGACGAGATGTGCCACCTTAGTTGCTGACAGTTCTGAGACGGTCCGCGGGATCACAAGACGGACAAGACGCAGCGTGCCAAATTCGAAGGGGAGCGAGGGCGTTGCGATCTTGAGGAAGGACTATCCCTTTGGGTGTTCGAAGGTGCCGATTTCGTCCCGAGCCCATTTTGTCTGAGATACCTAGTAAATACCTATTGGTACCTTTTTAATGCGTTAAAATTACTACATAAATATGTATCTTTTTATATACGCGGAGATAAGTAGAGGTACTTATATCTCTATATAATCTCCTGGTATATTAATGTATCTCTCATATTAAGATTTTTAATTGGTGGACATCCTTGCTCGGTACAAAATCGGCACCTTTGAACACCCAAAAGGATGTCAGCTGGCCGCAATAATAAACACTGGGTGGCACCTGTCAAGCCCCGAATTCCAGATGTCATGAGGCTGCATGTGGTGGTAGTACCTGAGGGTCCTTTTGCCAGCCCTTGCCACATCTGTAGTGGTCCCTGGTCGTCTCCACTCGATCAGTGGACTGGTCTATCCGTAACACCCTTGCGGTAGCCCAACACGTCGCGTCAACCTTGGTTATTCCAGCCTTCAACTGCCTTCAACTGCCTTCAACTTGCCAGCACAGCCAACTAGCCGCATCGACGACGCGAGCCGAGCGCATTTGGCACATCGGACTCGTCCTTCGTTCTGCTCGGCCCACTGGATATTTTTAGCCAAACTTGGATACGTTCATGGCGCCTCATGTTTCAATTTGTTGACGTGAATTAGGCTTTCGTTGTCTCGTCACGTGAGTCAGTATTGAGTAGCGCGTGTAGGAGTACCCGACGTAACCACCACGCGCGTTCGGCATTCTACACCAGAAACAGTTCTGCGGCCAAACATTTTATTCGCCGTAGGCTAGCGATGCCATCAAGCCTTCTTTATGGCAGCTGCCTGGTTTGAAAAAGGTCGTCCAGCGCTTTTTGAAGCTTTATCAAATGTGTGCGACCAAATTGGGAGGGACTTGGCTGCCGGTAAGCCACGCGAACGCGGACATCTGTCCATTGAGCCTACTAGATTCTAATCCTATATAGAGGTGCAAACACAAAATGTAGCGCAAAGTCAAACTGAGGGATCCAGAGCTGCGGGGGAGGGACGTACCGAAATGTCAGACATCGTTTCGAGATTGGAGGCTGAAAATGAAGAGCTTCGAAGGCAACTTGCCACGTTACGGCCGCCAGGGACAACATCACATTCAACCACCACCTGTTCGACTTCAAAATTACCCGACCAGGCGCCGGAATCTACTCATCCTTCTACCAATGACCCAATTGGCCTCAAAGGCACGTCACGTACGACCAGTGGTACCCCACCATGTCGAGACTGCTCCAGAGTCTTAAGAAGATACCATGCATTGTCTGCCAACTTCAAAACAGCCAAAGATGCTTTGCAGCGGAGAAAAGATGAAAGAAATAGTTGGATTCACTACTCAAAATATCTCAAGGAAAAAATACAAACCGCCGAAAACGAATATGGTATTCAGATTCTGGATCAGAAAGCCCAGCAAATGGAAGTGCCCACATCAACCGCGTTAGAAGCCGACGAGCCACTTATCAACCCTTCGCTCAGCTTTATGTCTGAAAAAGGGTCTGAAGGAGCTGAGCCTCAACTTCCAGAGCTGGCTTCAACGTCGAAGTCGTCTGGCGGAGCCCTTGAAGGATATCATGCAAATTCCGAAACGACCCAAGGGGAAGCCTCGGACGAAATGTCACAACCTCTACCAATGATCCCACCACCTTCCAA